ATTTAGTTAAGCATACTTGACCTGGTTAAAGAAACTCATTCGTTGACTTGCACTTGCTAGTGTTGGGAACCCTCGTGTATTGAGACTAGTCCCTCAATATCACTGGATGATAGCTTACCGTGTCTACCAAACACCCTCGCTATCATGCCCTTTGTGTTAGTCTCATTTCGGTCTCAAATGCTATTTATGGAAAGTGTCTAAATTTGCTCATTTGGCATATCTATGGAATGTAGAGATTAGCCTGAACATAATGGTGTTCGTCTCGTGTCCAAATTGCGCCATTCCATATTTAGTAAGTTTCGAGCTTGTCCCAAAGACTAACTCCTAATACTAAGGGAGGCCTGGGGTGAAAGCCCAAAGCGTGTGTTCCTCAAGGGGGGAGGGGGGGGGGGGGGGGGTTGTGGAGGGTTCCAAATGTATAGTAGAGATAGTGGGTAGGTTGGGCATGGCCGACCAACTTGAGGCATAGTCTAGCTCTTGCTTACGTGCTTGTCTTTGTTCTGCGTCCGGCTTGGGTCTAAGCCCAAGTTCCACACTATGCTAGCTAGTATAGTACCCATGTCCTCGCATTAGGCCACCAGTATACTTTGTTTGGCTTCGTTTTGCGTGCTGCTCTTAACATTGGGATGCTGGTTACTTTAGGACTATTCCAAGTTGCTCCGTGCCCCTATTCCTTTGCTCCTTGGGCTATACGCTTGGGAATTGCTCCACGCTCCAGTTCCATCACTCCTTGGCTCTATGCGTGGAAGTTTGGCACCGTTCCTTTGTTTAGTGGCCCAAACCTCGGGTTCCACACCACTATCCTATGGACACGTGGCATGCAACACATGGCACATGAAGGGTTTAGGTTCCACTTTGTGGTGCTATCCTATGGTAAATCACCATAGGATAAAGGGTAAAACCCACATGCACTACTGTGCGGGCCGGCCATGGTGCTTGGGGGCAGGCCGGTACACTGGCAAACTAGCTCGCCCGACCTCACCCGTGCCAAGTGCCTGGGCCAAGCACTCGGCTGGACACTCCGTGTGGGCTAGCCATAGCACATGGGGGTGGGCTAGTACACTAGCAAACCGCCCCACACAGCCTCGCCCATGCCAAGTGCCCGGCCCGGGCACTTAGTGGGGCACTCTGCGGTTCTTATGCATTTTTATTTTATAATGAGTTTTTTTTATTTTTAGAAATGAAAAGAAGTACAAAAGGAGAAGGATGTTGGATCAAAGAGAACAAGATATGAGGAAGATGAAATCCAGAAAGATAATCAATTTGACTTTCAAATAGAGATTTTCACAGCGACAACTCTACCGTCTTCACAACCAAATAGCTCCAGTCCATATGCACCCCCATTTTTGCCACCACTGCCATTGATGCCACCACCATCATTACTGTTGCCATCGCCTTCACCGCCATTGCCACCTCTACCTTCATCACTACTATTACCACCACCGTCTTCACCACCATTATTACCACCACCATCATTGCCATTACCACTACCATTTCCACCATCATCACCACCAACATCACCATTGCAACCATTGTCATCACTACCATTGCTGCCACAACCACAAATGCCACTACTCTTAACATATTCATAAAATATGGCAAATACGGAGCAATGCCCAAGTACATTTGATGGGGGTGTTGGGCCCGAGGTGGGGGCTAGATCTGATAATGCTTCTACTAGAGGTGTAGCTGAAGCTGAAAGAGAAGTGGAGTTACTTGAACACATTGTAGATAAGCGCTTCCAAGAGATAGCTTTGAGAACCAAAGAAAAGGCCATTCACATGACTCTAGAGTCTCTCAAGTGGGAAGGCCTAGGAGACATGATCCAAGAAATCCCACTATGTTGATTCACTAAGACAAGCATTGTTCAGTCTGCTTTACCTCACTTCGTTAACATGGACATCTATAGTCTATACAAACAGAATGGCCTTGGGACAAACATAAGTATATTCCTTGTTTCGGTCTTTAAGCTAGGACCGACAAATACCCTCTCGGTGTCACTGGAAATTGAGAGGGTTTGGGATGACATTTGGAAAATGAAGTCTCGTGAATTTGACAACATGCTTATGAGCCATCCTGAGACTCAACAATTTGTGGGGAAAATGTTCTACATTATCGATGAGAATCATCGTTGGTGTGTGTGGATGAAGTGCATTAATGAATGCTTTCGAGATGATCCTGTCTATCATATCAATAAGGCTTGTGATAGCTTGCCACAAAATTAATACATAAGTACCTCTCCCTCTTCAATCACTTTTAACAATTTATGTTTTGCAGGCTGGGATAGTTTGTAGTGTAGAAATAAAGCCTAGTACATGATATTGAGAAGATTTGGTTTCTTGCCAATCTCAACGAGGATGCAGTCTGCAGCCACTATGGTGATGATTTAGCATCACTTATTCAGCATCAACGAGGTCGTCAAGATGCCAATAGATGGTACAAGAATCAAATGAAGTACAGTATGTTCTTCTAAGTATACTTCTTATCATAGAATGTTTGTGTTATCTTTAGCCATTGGTGAAGGTTAGGCAAGATGTATATGCACAGTCGCATCGAGCTGAAAATGATCAAGAACTCTCGGAGCATTTAGCTACAATTGACAAGAAAATCAACATCATAAAGAAGACAAAGGTAAAGAAATTACTTAGTGTGACTGACCCTCGATGCCCAAAGGAGTGGTTTGATATCATAATAGAGATTGTTTGTCATGAAAGTAAGTATTGTTTGCATTTACATGATTTCTCACAAAAGTTATTTTTTAGTGGGCAAAACTCCAGATGAGATTATTTACAATATCTCAAAGTCAAAGCTTACATATGAGGAACAGATACACATTTTGAACGACCTCAATAGTAAACTTAGGGAAGGAGAAAAAGGTTTGGACAATATGATGGAGATTGTGATGAGGAGGACTGTCTACATTTCACAAACTATATATGAAGAGGAGATGTTTCTAGTGCCTTTCATAGGGGATGATCTTGAGCAACTTCCATTTAAGGACTTCGTCACCATTGAGTTTACAAAACTTGGAGAGGATTGGCTACCAAAGAAGGCCACAAGCATGACTCCATTTGATAAACAACTTGGCCAACCTTACTTCATGTGGCGAGCGGCTTTCAAGTAACATACAATTTCTCAACTATACTCAATTTGTTTATATTCTATTATAGGTATCTCCAATATAATTTCTCAACTATACTCAATTTGTTTATATAGGTATCTCTAATATAGAGGCGTTCCTCTCGAAACACCGGTATGCATATGACTCCTGCGGCATGGTGTGAGAGATGGAGGCATGTACCTGACAACAATGAAGTTTCTAGTAGCAATAAAGCAAGTTTGTCCTTGGTAATTGGAGATGCCAAATTATGCACCAACCCACCGAGAGGCTGCAAGAGGCAACAATGAAGATGTGCCGGATGACGAAGATGATGGCCACGAGAATGTTGACACTGTTGGTGCCAATGGCGAGGAGAGTGAAGATGGCGGTGAAAACAACTTGCAAGAAATTCCTCAAGACGAAGTTGAGCAAAAGAACTAGAACATCCAAGAAGTTCTATCTCGACAAAAGCATGCAAATCCACATTTGGAGGAACTAGTTAATAGTGATGATGATTGTCCAAGACATGCCTATAACTGAGGAACTTCTTAAAGTATATTTCTCTTAATTCTCTCCTTTTCTTAGTTTCTCAAAATGGTTGTAGCAAAAACTGTTGAGAGTAACTTCATTCCAACTCATCTTGATGCCTGAGAAGAGGACCTGGAGGAACTTACATCTACCATGATGGTATGTAAATTTTTCTTAAGTTCATTACCTTTGTCTTCTCCTCCTAGATTCACCCTGTTTCTCCAATGGCATTTCATGGTGAAGTTGGGATCTTTATTGGCTCCTACAATTCATTGATGGCATCTTTTGAGGAGGATGCTAAGAATATGGCTATTTGGCAAAAGTGGGAGCGCTTTTGTTAGAAGATCCATAGGCGACTACTCAAGAGCACAAACTTCATACTCTTTGACATGCCAAATGGTCTTCCAAAACCTCCTCCTCCTCCTCCTCCTCCTGTTGAGGAGGAGGACACATGAGATTCACAACCAATCAAGTTGCCTTCATTCTCCTAAATGACCACCATTGGATATCCTGCTTTATGAGGTATGCAACTCGAGTTAACTTCAAGTTCCAAGTGCATCATGGATAGTGTTGGGGTCGAGACCAAAGGCTTTTTAGGCATGCCAGAGAAGGTAAAAAATCATCTTTTGTTTTGGTTGTTTCTAAAGTTTTATTATTTAGGTTATGATGTGGACCTACCATGTGTTCTGTAGAAGAGAAAATGATGGTTTTTGTGATAGCGAGCGCACTGCAAGGGTTTTGCCAGGGTATGATAGCTTTACTGACATCATACCAAATCTCGTAGATGACGGCATCCACAACACATTGTCTGGGTATTGGTTCTGATCTCCATCAGCAATGCATGTCCTACTTGAGCTTTATTAACCAACTAGGGGTGTTGTCATCAATTACACAGCAGGTAGTGGTTCGATGGTCAAGGCAGCACGTGACTCTGGTAGATTGGTGTTTGCCATTAAAGAATATGAGTTCTTCAAACACTATTTTAGAGGTTTTCGTCCTTCTCTATCAGTTGCTTTTAGGAGGTAATTTATGATGTTTTAAAAACTTATATATAATATAAATTTAGTTTTTTAGAAGTCTTCCTAAGTATGCATGGCAATGTGTAAATTGAGGAGTGGTATGAAAAATCTATTTATTAATGATACATTAAAAGACAATTGAATGCATCCACTTGCAATAAGAAAGATGTGTCACATGTCAATGTGATAATGATTGTGACAGTGACAGTGTCAGTGCAGCAGATAGTGACAATGATAATGTCAGTGACAAAGATAGTGTCATTGTCAGAGATGATAGAGTTATAGTATCAATCTGTCAAATTTCATAATTACTAGTATTATGAGTTTATTATCTATAGGTAATACAATTTTGTTAATAAAAAAAGGCGAGAGGGGGGGGATGGATAATATCATAGTGTGAGAATTATTAGTAGCTAGAATTTTCAGTAGGATGGCCTAAAAATACCATATTCAACACTTGTGGATGTATTTACTAACAGAATATTGTTCCTCACCATGAAACGATAATGGTTGTGTATTCTTAACTCTTTTTTGATTTTCTTATACATCCATTTATGCACACCTTCCATATCAGTTCTTGGGCAATTGTGACAGTGTTCTTGTGTTCATTCTTTCAAAAGTTTCAACCATATCTGGAACAAGATCTTGAAAAAACATCTGGCATCGCTTTTGAAGCATATGAGACAATCCATCTTTAATAGCAACATTTAGAACATTATCTAGAAGAGGGATCTCTTATTCAGTCACACTTGGGGCTACAAAAGGAAAAGCCTCATAACAATTGTTGTGTGGAAGGAAGGGTGGAATGTTGGTAGAAGTTGGAGATGAAGGTAGAGACTCATATGAAATGCATGGGGGCCAAGTGTGAATAGCAATAACATTTTCCCTAGCCATTCTACACTTTAAAAAAACTGAAATTTCAATGTTGAAGGCATCCCTTATTGGTATTTATACTAAGAAAAGATCTAGGGGTTCTTGAAAGTTTAGTTGTTAGTCTAAAAAATGGGACTTTAGAATTATAACAGTGTCAGAACCACTTGTATATATAATAACATCTTTATATATGCTAGAATACTATCATTCTCAAATATATAAGATTCTCCACTTTACTCATAAAGAATTAAACTTTTGAAAAAACTATGCATGGCTTTCACATTACATTAAAGGGTGGCCTAAATATCCCATTTTCAGCACTTACTGATGTAGTGTTCACCAATGGAATATTATTCTCCACTATGAAATCATAATAGCTGTGTGTTTTTACTTCTTTCTTAATTTTTTTATACATCCACGCGTGCACACCTTCCAAACCTGCTCTTAGGCATTTGCGACAATGCTCAATAAAATTTACCAAACCTATGCAACCATCTGTCTTGTTTAAATAAAAGTTGTATATAGGACACTGAAGATAATATGTATCTACATTAAGCTCTCCTGCCATATCTAGAGTAAAATCTTGAAGAAAATATTGACATCGCTCTTGGAGCATTTGAGGCAATTCAACTCTTTTAACAACATCATAAGGAAGGAATTCTTGTTCAGTTGCACTTGAGGTCGCAAATGGATGAGCCTCACAATAACCCTCAAAATGACAAGGAAAATTATTGCATAGAGATGAAGGTGGATTATTGATTGAGATTGGAGATGGAGGTGGAGACTCATATGAAAAGCCTTCGGGACCAAAAGTAAACTTCTTCCTAACCATTGCAACACACAAGAAGAATTAAACTTCCCACCAATAAGAATTCTCTAATTAATATACTATATTTCAATCTCGAGAATGATGTTTTATTATGACATGACAATATATTGAATCATAATTGTTAGTCTTAGTAATTACAACCTACTATAAGAGACAAGTGGGTTTTAGGAGTTAAAAACTAACACATAATTAATACGTAGCCTTATTTTATATAGCTGGCCTGCCATATAAAATAATGGCGAATGCATACAGGCATGCGAGTATGCCTTTTTGCAAGATTACCTTTTAGTCCCAAAATCATATATAGATTTAACACTTTGATTTGTCCACATCATATATACTTATATTTTTTGCAAAGACAAAACATATCAAAAGGA